ACGTAGCCCACGGACACCTCCCGCGCCCGAGCCGCGTGCCGACTTGGGGCTCACGGAGAGCCGGGAAGAGGTTGCGGGACACGAGACGCCGAGGGACCTAAACAGAGCCTGCAGTCTAATGTGAGGGATTTAAATAGAGCTTGCAGTCCAAAGTGAGGTATTAAAACTGAGCCCGCAGTCCAAGTGAGGCGTTTAACGGAGAGCCTGCAGTCCGGTGCGAGGGAGTTAAACGATGTGAGGGATCCAACAGAGCCTGCAGTTTTTTTTTGTTTTTTTAATTTATTTATTTATATTTATTTATATTTATATTTATTCATATTTATATTTATTTATATTTATTTATATTTATTTATTTTTATATATAAGCGTTCCAGATATAAGCAGTACCATATATGCAGTTCCAATATGAGCAGTTCCATATAAGCAGTTCCGTATACAAGCCGTTCCACATATAAGCAGTTCCGTATACAAGCCGTTCCACATATAAGCAGTTCCATATATAGCAGTTCCATATATAGCAGTTCCATATATAGCAGTTCCATATATAGCAGTAGGCCTGTCGCGATAGTCAATAAATCAATTAATCGCACGATAAATAAAATTTGCTCAATAACTTTTCTGGCCGCGATAAATCCCATTTGCATGCTTGTTTGTTTCCCCCGTCTCTCTCGTCAGAGAGCCGCAAAGTGGTCACGGGAACACTAGCGGTCTAGCAAGCAGACGGAAATTACTCAAAAATACAAAATACAGCCAAAACAGGACCTAAACCAGGACTTAACCAGGATTGACAATGGGGGACACAGTAGTTGTGAACATATGCCGGCAGCTGAGTTCTCATTCAGGCTTGATTAGTGACTATACTAGCGCAGCTAGCATTAGCGTGTTTGCCGATGCAGAAGTACCGTACCATACCAATAAAATAAACGTATGGCGCACCTCCGTGAACACATACTGCTGTTATATAAGGTCTCTAGAAGGTCTCTGAACACAGAGATGCTGCAGACTTGCATTCTTGGAGTAGAACTTTACACAAAAAACCCGCTAGCTTAGCTGTTAGCATCAAAGCCCGCCCCGCTACTTCCGGTGGGCGCTACCGCAGCAGGACTTCTGTACGCCCCATTGGTAAACCCACATGTCAGTCACTTGTCATTCGCCTGGTGTGTGGGGAGGTGGGACTACTCCTGAGAGATCCTGTCTTAAGCCACACAAAGTCAACATGTTGGTATTTCTTTCTCGTAATCTGCCATAAAGTCTGGGAAATTATTGACATTTGAGGCATCTGTTTCATATTTTCTTTACCAAGGTCCTGGCAGTTTTATTCCTGGTCATTTTTTGTTAAGAGACTGAGTCTATTTTCTTTATTGTTTTTGGTTGTTTGTTAATTTATTGTGTTCTAGCGTTAAATATTCGTTAAAAATAAACGTTTATTTCTCTTTGAAAAGGTGTACCTGCATTATCATTGTAATCGATGCAAATGATCTCAGAACGACAATATAATCGCTTATCGCAATAATTTCTGAGACAATTAATCGTCCAGCAAAATTTATTATCGTGACAGGCCTATATAGCAGTTCCATATATAAGCAGTTCCGCATGAAGCAGTTCCAGGTACGGTATAACAGCTCCAGATATAAGCAGTTCCGTGCGGGATTAACCTGGGAGCTCGCAGTCCAATGTGAGGGATTCAATTTGGGAGCCGCAGTCCAGAGGGATTTAAACGGGGCTTGCGGTCCAAAGAGAGGGATTTAAACAGAGCTCGCAGTCCAGAGAGGGATTTAAACAGAGCCTGCAGGCCAAAGTGAGGGATTAAAACTGAGAGCACGCAGTCCAATGTGAGGGATTAAACTGAGGTCTTGCAGTCCAATGTGAGGAATAACGGAGCTTGCAGTCAAAGTGAAGGATTTAAACGGAGCTTGGTTAAGAGAGCCTGCAGAACAATGCGAGGGCTTTAAACTGAAGCTTGCCCACCAATGCACGGGGCCAACTGAGCCTGCAGTACAAAGCGCGGGGCGAACTGAGCCTGCAGTACAATGCGAGGGGAATAAACCGTCCGCATACTTACCCACAACGCCAGAAGACAAGGGACAACACAACGGGACCACGCCGTACCGGCATGAGGAGGCAGGGATGCGCACAGCTCCCACCGCACCGGGCCAGACCGGCCGTATGCAGCAGCAGGCCGCGACGAGACGAGCAGCGGCGAACCCGCAGAAAGAGCCCGCAAAGGAGGAGAGCGGCAAAGACCCACGGACCACAGCACGAGACCCGCAGCAGGTGCAGCGACGCGGAGGAGGAACAGACCACACGCAGCCAGACAGAGGACAGCAGGGACCGCAGGAGTAAGCGTGAGTAGACAAAGCGATTCCTCCAGAACGATTCATGCAAGGCTTCAGAGGCCGAGAGTGGGAGTTTCTCCGCTTTTATGCGGCTGGCGAGTCGGTACAGATGATTGGAAGGGGGCGTCTGCTGAGCGATAGGCTGGGGATGCGAGCTGGCCTGGAGGGGGTAATTTTGGTTAACGTCTACCAAATTGAATTTTCGCTGGCTGCATTTCTTTTTCTATTTGAGTAAACAACAAGAAAAAATTCTTAGCCAAAAAATTCCATTTTACAGACCAAATGGCTAATTATGAGTAAACCTATTTTACCAAAATACAATCAATTATTGCATGTCTTTAGTCGTTTAGTTGATTCATTGTAAACAGTTCTATAAATAATAAGATGGAAAATCATACTCTGAGTGCATTGGTTGAATCATCTTTGGGCCTTGAGTCAAGTTTAGTTTAGGTCATAATATTTTGAGAGCTTTGTCATGTCCCCTTTTTAGTAGAATAATCGATAGACAGGGAATGCCTTTTTTGTTCCAGACTTTCTTTGGTCGGCTCCATAGACAGAATATTAGGAGTGGACTGACCGAGTGCTGACCTCATCCAGAGTGTTTTCAGAATGCGTAAGAAGCCGTTTTTAACTAGCTTGAGCCAATTTCCCCATGAGCGTTTGTTCCAACAGAGTTAGCTCTGCTCCGTAACAGGGGCAGACGTGTTTCTAAGATGGTTGTTAAAGAAAGCAGGAGTTTTCTCCCTGAGAATGATAGAGTCTGGTTGGTGAATCCTTATGGCTCATGTCCAGATTTACCAAGACAATATACAAATAAAAACCCAAGGATCATAGAAAGTGCTTAACCACACATTATTTTAAGCCCAAAATAGTGATTTTGACCCAACTGGATGTAAGAGGAGTTTAGGTTTCAATGTAAGTCAATAGGAGCCAGAGCAAGTTGGAGCAAAACTTTGTCCATGAGCGCTTCCCAATTGGGCTTCATTGAGCTTGGTGGCATTGTCCATCTTTACAGCGTCTATAGTGGACCTCAGCCCTTGTTTGTATGTGGTTTTAGTTTTTCACATCAGCCTGTCTATACAAAGAAAAGGGTCTATTTTATCCAACTTTAAATGTTTCTTTATGTACTGTCATTCTTTTCTAACAAGATCTAATCCTAGTATTAGGATAAGATACATAGCAAGAGAAGGTGCAATTCAGGAATACTGGATAATGCTTTCAAACAGATTACTATTGCCTGTCATCCAAGCGGCTGCTCCTGTTCTGGCACAGATCTGGTGAATAAATGACTGAGTTAACAAGGTAACAAAAGCACAAAATAACAAAGACCTGGTATTGGTTAAAATTATTACAATTCTTATAGTTGAAATAGTAGAGTTGTGATACAATTTACAGTTGATACAGTTTATCTTTAAAAAGCATTAACCAGTAGGTGATGGTATTGTTATATACTGTACAGTAGTTGTATAAATAACAACTATACGCCAAATGTGCATAATAATAATAATAATAATAATAATAATAATAGAGCAATTATGTAAAGCCATGGCTGGCCTTGAGATCCAGACTTTCTGCAGACTATGGAAGTATTACAACCACACAGGACCTAATCCCGGAGGCTTGGCCAATGCAGAGGCAGCTGCAGCAGGATTACCCACCGGATTGAGAAGCCACACTGCCTATATACAGTTGAGTAGTGTCAATAAAATGTAACTATAAATCATCAAAGAGAGAAAAGAAAACAATCAAAGCCTTGGAACATTTGGTTCACAGATCTTGCCCTTTTGGCACTTTCATGACTATTTATAATATGGGTGAATAAACAAGATCCCTATTGCAGCTATCAGTCTTTGTGAGTTTTCAAGTTTCATACAGGGAAATACATCATGGAGAGGAAAGAGTTATGTTACTTTAAGTGGTTTTGAACAGATCCATTCACATTCTCACACTCAAAAACACTTTTATTTTGCACCTGACTATTACTTTTCAAAATGTTGACCCCCCCCCAACAAAATGAGTTTGCTTGAGACAGTTTAAATGGCATTATTCCCTGCTATACGTTTTGCCAATATTATACTGTATTTAATTATAATTAATTTTGAAGCCAATACAAACGATGCTATTTGCCTTTCCATATGAAATGTCCATCCATCCTCCGTATAATCATATAGCCAGGGAATTCCCATGCTGCTGTGCGTTCTTGAATCATTTCGAACTACAGAATAATAACCAACCAATAACCAAAAATGGGGAGGGACAGCAAGACCATGATGACCCACTTTTCGATAAACATAAGCTTGTAATTTGTTTGCAGATCCAACATGATGGTAGCAGAAGCGAGGCTTCCTCATGTTTAACTTGCACAAATGGCAGGAATCGTTTGGCACCAGTGTGTAACCATAATTTGTTTTGCCACGAGACATACGTTATCAGGTAGAATTGCTCCAATTTGGACAATTCTAATCCACACATCTCTGACTAAACAAATTAAAAGTTTCCAGACTGAATATTCAGTTATGTTATTTAGTCTAGTGTTAGCAAAGCTAGCAATATATATTTCAAGCAAAACAATTACATCTCATGGACTCAAGTCTGTGGACACTCGACCATAAGGTTAACATAACAGTAGACATACGTTTCTGTGAATAAAGAGATGGAGCTCACCAGAAGTCCCGTCCTGACCGTCACCACCAACTTGAGCCAGTGAGGGAATTTGGAAATAATTTTAGTGATGAAAGCTGCAATGGTATCGCCGTAATCAGGTTTATGAAACTCTGCCTCATTCAGACTGTCCACCAAAATGATGTAGTCTTCTTCAGGCAGTCTTTTCTCTGCAAACACAAAAGGTACAATGGACTTAGATTACAGGGAAAGCGTTGCAATTTGATGTCCCTGCACCAGACACATTGGACGATTCTGAATTGGCTTCGGCATCTGGAGAGGAATCCAAATCACACATTTTGTCATGTTTTGTGAGATGTGGTGATATTGTTGGAGGTAGGTGGAAGAATGTGGTAAAGTGTAGGCAGAGAGGAAAGAAATTGGCAACTTGAAACCACTGCCGGGCTGATTACGAGGCTGTGCGATATCATTTTGAATATTTTGTTCTTGTTTAATAATTCTCTTTAGCTGTACTTTATAATCCAAAACTCTCCTAACACGTCAACAGAGAGCAAAGCACAGCATGGGAGCAGAGGGGATGGACTTTTGATTGACGTCTGCCAGAAACACGTTACAACTACAAACATGAGATGATCTGTGAGAATTCAATGCCAGCAGTAAAGCAAGAATTTGAAATAGAAATAGTTTGTATCAAAACAGACATAAACCTTGCTTTTTGGGGCCGTTGTAAAACTTTTATTTCCTGAATATTAATTTTAAACTTGACCATTGTTCCTGCATCTAAACTTTATACTTCACATGTACTGTATAACCCTTTATAACTTTGACTTTATGTTTGTCAGAAATGGTTGGCATGTCTCAAATGCAGTAATCAGGACCAAGCATTGAGTCCAAACGCCAACTCTGAAAAATTTCTGCAAATGATTACTCTTGAAACTTGTTCTATGATAGATCAATCCTGGACAAACTGCTTTGTCACTAAAGGCTGTTTTCAGGTCTTTCTACACACAATATGATACACACACACACACACAAAACACACGTACGTGCACACACACATTGAATAACTAAATATCTGATGGACCAATAACTCTTCATATGCGTTCTATTGTTTGACTTTTTGAATCTGTTGTAGACGCTGAGAGGTTGTGATTTTAGGCTTTAGACAAATAAATAGTCACATTTTATTTGAATTTGTTTTGAAGTGCTTAAATGCGTACATAAAGCTGGAACACTGAAAAACTGAACACAATATTCTTTGACACTTTGGACTGAGAGTTGATTGGCTGGATGAGGGTGGCTCTCACTTTCACCAGTTTATGTCTGAAAAACCTTCCTGACTCCAGGACTCCAGATAATTAAGCTGCACTTGTTACAGCTAGTAAGTAGTAAGTCATCTTTATTTATATACCGCCTTTTCACTGCACATCGGAGTCTCAAAGCGGTTTACAATTGTTATTTTTTATTTATTTTTTTAATGGAGCTAATGGAGATCAAATAAATACAAATGTAAAGATGTGAGTACAAAAATAGATTAAGGTGCAAACTGGTGATAGAGTTAAGCAGTTTTGAGAGCGGGAAATAGTTAGATGGATTTCATTGTTCCATTGTTTGTGGTATGTATCCCAGCTTTAAGGAAAAGTCATTGTCAAAAGACATGTACATGTTTTGTCTGAGAATGGAAATACAGAAAAACAAAGCAATTATTCATGATCCAACAAAGAAAATGTAGTTTAAAAAGACATATGCTTTGACAGTTAATCTTGAACCAGGACAAAGTACGTATTGTTTTGCAGCTTGTCCCACGCTGAGAAAATCACCAACTGCTGCTATTGATTACAGTCTGCTATAAAGAGGAGCTCGGGCCGCAGGAGTTTATTAGCATCAAAGTGAAGGTGTCCATCAGGCCTCAGATGATCTGCGCTGTCACCTCTCACCAGTCAGGACTCACACGCTCATGCTCTCCATTTAGGCCTAATAGAGATTGATAATAATAATATAATTCATTTTCTAGAACGAAACACTGGGTCATCAATCTAGACGACTGTGAAGAGCAAAAGCACCAATGTAACTTTCACAGCAGCCTATCTGCGACCTTGAAATCATGTGGGATGCTGCTGATGATTCACTGGGGCAAAAATAACACACATCATTCCCTATGTAAATGACCTGACATCTGTTTCACACTAGCCACGGTCTCAAATCGCTGCCCTTCAGCAAAGAAAATAATCAATGGCCCTGTCATGAATTCATTAATGGGTAATATCACACAGGAGATTGCAGAGAGCTTCCTAATTGCAGCAGAACGGAAGCAGACATTGTAAAAAGTGGTGCTATTTTAAACTTTAAAAGCTCTTTAAAAATGAATCTTATCACACATTTGTCTTTGATTGAGTGTGTCTTGAGTGATGGGAGAGAGGTGTGATGTAGCTCGCGAAAATTCAATTTGGTAGACGTCAGCCAAAAGCTACTCCCTCCAGGCCGGTTCGCTTCCCCAGCCTATAGCTCAGCAAACGCCCCCTTCCAATCATCCGTGCCGGACAGGCAGCCGCTTAAAAGCGGAGCAACTCCCACTCTCGGCCTTCTCGAAGCCTCGCATGCTCCTGAAGCCTTGCAGAGAATCGTCTGGAGGAATCGTTTTCGTCTACTCACGCTACTCGGCGCGTTCCTGGCGTCCTCCGTCTGGCTGCTTGTGGTCTGCTCCTCCTCCGCGTCCCTGCACTGGTCTGCTCCTCCTCCGCGTCCCTGCACTGGTCTGCTCCTCTTCCACGTCCCTGCACTGCTGTGGTTCGCATATCCCCACTGCTCTCCTCCTCTGCGGGCTCTTTCTGCGGGCTGCTCCGCGGGGCCCTCCGCGGGTTTTCTGTGCGGCTCGTTCCTCGTGGTCTGCTGCCGCGCGCAGACGGTCTGGCGGTGCCGCGTTGTCCCGTTGCTTTTCTCAAGTCTCCTGGCATGTGAGTACAGTGAGCGTGCTGACCGCGGACAGATTAATCCCGGAGTTCTGGGCTGCAGGCGATCGGTTTTTGCCCTACGCACTTGACTGCAGGCGCCAGTTTTTTCGCCCCGAGCTTGGTCTGCAGGCTCCGTTTCACATGTGTTTGAGCTAACTGAGGGGCAGTGCATATTAAATGGCATCAATCTCTATCGTCTGAGGGATATACGAGGAGCTATGTGCATTAATTCAGATCATGTTCTGCCACTTGCAGTAAAACCATGCATTAAATAGCTAGGTCGCTGGTATTAAATTAGGTAACTAACTGCAGTGTTGCATTTTGAAGTGCAGCAGGAAGAAAAAGGGCCGAACGTGAATCTGCAATGGGTGTGAAGTAGTGTTGGAGCTATGAACGCATGGATCAGTGATCGTTCATGCGCATCTGCCATAACCAAAGCAGAAGATGGCTCCAGGGGACGTCTGTTATTCGCATGGGAATGTTTCGGATTCGGGTTGATTTATTTCCTCAGGCTGTTAAACAACCGTGGGTTGGTTCTCTGACCGCCGCTGCTGCCGGTCCCCGCTGCCGTTCCTACTGATGCCGATCCCGCCGCCGCCGTTCCTGCTGCCGCTCCTGCCGCTGCCTGTTCCTGCTGCCGCTCCTGCTGCCGTCTGTCCCTGCTGCCTGTTCCTGCTGCTCTACTACTACATGTGCCGCTGCCGTTCTGCAGGCTCCCAGGCTGCACCTGTCTCTGTGGCTCGGCTCTTCCAGACACGTATGTAACCTGGCTCATGGAGACAAGCAGCGCACACTGGCGCGACACGTCTGTCCGTTCGTATGAATCGCTTCGTGGTGCTGCTGCTCCCGCTGATGCTGCTTCTGGTGCTTCATACTGCTACCGCTACTGCTGCTACTGCTGCCGCTGCTGCTTCATACTGCTACTACTGCCGTGCTGCTGCTGCTTCATACTGCTACCGCTACTGCTGCTACTGCTGCCGCTGCTGCTTCATACTGCTACTACTGCCGTGCTGCTGCTGCTTCCTGTACTTCGTCATCTCTCTTCACTTCGCTTCTCTTACTGAAACACTAAACAGCTACAACATATTCTACTGCCGTGGCTTTGATACAGGGTTTTTGCCGTTATTATCTACGGATGCTGCAGCTGCTGCTGCCGCGGCTGATACAGGTCGTTGCCGTTATTATCTGAGGTTACTGCCGCTGCCGCTGCTGCTACTGCTACTGCTGCAACCCACTCTCTCAGAAGCTTATCCTGCTTCTAATGGAGGCAGCCCGGCAGAGTATGCCGCGCTGCACTGGACTCGCACCTGTGCTCCCAGGGTCGCTTCGGCGGTCATGCTTCATCTCTCTACTTAATCTTCCGATTCTATCAGATGCAGCTGGCCGAGTAGCTGCGCTGAGCCGTCAATCGGACTCCTAATCAAAGGCATCCATACCTGTGTTCTTCACTCTTCTGATCGCAGGCTCCCAATCATGCTGCCCATCCTGCAGCGGCACTGAACTCCGGCTCATCTTTCAGGTACATGTCTGCCCTCCTCGCAGCATCTTCCTGCTCGCCTTCTATGGCTTCTCTGCATAAGCGTTTTACTACTGCACACTCAACCTTCGTGCGGTCCGAGACACGGCTTTCCCGACCATCCTACTATCCTGATTATCTACTCTCCAACCCAAGATTCTAAGCGTAAGGGCGCCTGCAACATCAATGGCCCTCTCCGACATGTCTCTGCCCCTACAGGTCTCCGCTTCTACACGGACGCTGCCCCTTCCGTGGGTTTTGGGGGATTCTTCCAGGACCATTGGTTTGCCGAGCGTGGCCGCTACTTTCCACCGGAGCATCTCCTCTGCCCTACACGAGATATTCCCAGTGGTCATAGCGTCAGTGATAGCGGTCATAGCGTCAGTGATAGCGGTCATAGCGTCAGTGGTAGCGGTCATAGCGTTAGTGTTAGCGGTCACAGCATAGCAAAAAATGGTTAGCGCAAAACGGTTCACAGCATAGAGATAGCGGTCACAGCATAGAGATAGCGGTCACAGCATAGCGATAGCGGTCACAGCATAGCGATAGCGGTCACAGCATAGCGATAGCGGTCACAGCATAGCGATAGCGGTCACAGCATAGCGATAGCGGTCACAGCATAGCGATAGCGGTCACAGCATAGCGATAGCGGTCACAGCATAGCGATAGCGGTCACAGCATAGAGTAGCACGACGTCTGTCCCCTGCAAACCAGGCTGCAAAACTCCATCAACACACACAGCCTTTTTGGGGATTGTACGCGCTCCATCGCAGGAGCCTCTCCGATCTGAAGGCCGCACCGGGGCCTAGGGCGCCAAACCACCTCAATAAATACTCATAACCATTTCGTTTCTCGTCTCTCCAAATTGAAATGTAGCTCGCGAAAATTCAATTTGGTAGACGTCAGCCAAAAGCTACTCCCTCCAGGCCGGTTCGCTTCCCCAGCCTATAGCTCAGCAAACGCCCCCTTCCAATCATCCGTGCCGGACAGGCAGCCGCTTAAAAGCGGAGCAACTCCCACTCTCGGCCTTCTCGAAGCCTGCAACCACCGCCTCCCCTCCTCCTCCTCTTCACCCTGCCTCCAATCTGCCTCCAATCTGCCTCCAATCTGCCAAAATGCCGCCACCAGTGCCTAGGTCCCGGGGGATTGTACGCGCTCCATCGCAGGAGCCTCTCCGATCTGAAGGCCGCACCGGGGCCTAGGGCGCCAAACCACCTCAATAAATACTCATAACCATTTCGTTTCTCGTCTCTCCAAATTGAAATGACGGTGTGTGTTTGGCATAAGTCTTGTCTGTGTGTGTGCATGTGTGTGTGCTTTGTATTGTATTGTAGGAGTAAGAGGGGTTTAACTAAATAAGCCCAAAACCCCTTTTCAAACTGTGTACTTCAGTTTTGATTATTCTTATTCTGTTTTTTTGACTTTTGTAGTTTTGAAGTTGGAAATGAATTACAACTACTACTTACCTTTGCGCAGAGTGGATAAGGGCTCCAAGACTCCCTTCTTAAAAGCAGTGATGGGGTCTTGGACACAGGAGCGTAGACTTAGTGCATTTTGAACATGTGGTTCTTGGACGAGCAGCTCTCTGTAGGGGGTGAGCTGTGGTGCTCTCGCCAGCAGGGCGGCGAGACTGTGCACGAATTCGGGCACCAGGCACGTGTATGTGTTGTCAGCCTGACAGAAATGATAGGCCACCACCTGGGAAAACAATAATAATAATAATAATAATAATAATAAATCATACTGAAAAGACATGCTCAATCACAAAGTCTGCTAATTGTAATTACTTGATCAATTACTTGAATTACTGCTAATAAACGTATTCATTTGTAGTGAAAGTAAAGACAACTGAATACATAGTCTGTGGCCTCTTAAAAAGCCTTTTCAGATTAAAAGTGTATTTTTTATTGCCATCGTGTGTATTTGTTATATATTGGTGGTTTCCTGTGATTTTTTGGTTTAAACTTGTTGTCTGGTTCTGTTGATTGTGTGTCACCTAGTCTCAGTTAAATATCTATTGTACAAGTTGTATCTTGTTGTGAGTCCATCCCCTGCTCCTGTCTACATCCCCTGTGCGTAGAGCTTTTTGCTTTTATTGAATTACTTTGATTTGCAGTCGGGCACATTTTTAGTCCTTCTTCATTTTAAATCGCAAAAATTATACAATTTTTGTAATTGAATAGAAAGAGGAATGAATGAAAAAAAACATTGTAATGTTACCAATTGCACAGTTCTACTGAATCGGAACACCGCACTAGCATTTAATTATAATGAGTATATACTTGTATTGTATAGGTTATTACAGGCACATAAAAGAACCATTAGAACACATTCAAACAGTGAAATGTGAAAATCAGAGGTTGCCAAGTCACATCATTTGTTCTGAGAAGTGTGTGGCGGGTGAGACCACACTTATGCTTCTACAGGAACAAAAACAAGCTGATATGTTCTGACAGCCGCTGAGAGGTGAGCAGGTCTCCACATTAACTACTGTTCTTTTAAATGTAGGAGTGAATGGCAGCTTGAAAGCACAGTCACACAAGTGGCCACTGATGTCCTGCTGATCTAATACACTCTCTTTCACAATAGTGTCATTGTTCGGATAATTATACTCCAACAATTTTTGAGTGAGTCGGCCCATGGGCTGTCCACAAAGGATTCAGGGCGTTACTGAAACTGGAGGCTAAAAGTGCTGAATATTAAATATATATATTACATATTTCTTAGGAATACCACAATTAAATGTTTTAACTTTTCCCAAAACAATTGAATTACCGATTTGTGCCCAGGCAAACATGCTTTAGGCATCACAACATGCTGACTTTCTCCCTCAATTGTTTGTCAATTGGTTTTGTCTAATTTTATTTTCTTATCTCTCTTTATCCTCTGTATGTTTCTAATACTGGATCATTTGTTGTATTATTAATCTGAGCCCTGAAGAAATTCACAGGATTTCTCGTTATCTTTTTTTCTCCTCTTTGTTCTATTAATTTACCTTTATCCTAGGACCTAAAGCCTGGTCTTACCATACCATCATACTAATTTCATTTCATACTAAGGTCTGGATTTGTTCCATTGAGCTCCGTTAACAGGTGGGAGGGGTTAACTCCTTTTGCAGATTGAAACGATCTGATGCATTTAGTGTTTAGCCTAGCTTCTCCTTTGCCACTAACGGAGGCTGTGGAGAGTAGAACCACAACACAACATCTTTGCCAGCAATGCAATTTACAAAAAACGCCTTCAATTTCTTGATATTGGGGAGCCGAACCAGAACAGAGAACTTTACTATTCCATTTTCCGCCATTGCCAAACTACAACCGGAAAATTTGGCGCAAACTCATGACGTCACCGACACTTACCTACATCACCGGCCTCCCCTACTCGCTGAATGGTCGGAGGGGATTCAACCAAGTTTTCAATTGTTTTTTGTCCTTGTTGGCAGAAACGCGTCAGGGCTCAATGAGGTCTATTGAGACACATCATAACTATCAATGGCGTTTTAATAAATGAAAGTCTAAATATCGTTGGTCTTAGTAGGTTTTTATAAACGTTTACTTTTATTTGAGAGCATGTCTAGAGTCTACTACTACTGCAACTACAAGTACTGTTCTTGTTCTTTAAACTTAAAGGTAAAGATATACTGATATCAAGATAACTTCCCCCTGATTCAAGAATGACTTTATGAGTGGTATGCTTGCATGTAGAGCAGAACGAGTGTACACGAGTCAGGTCCAAACAAGTATCTAGGATTTGTACTGATCATCTTCCATAGCCAGTCTCACTAGTTCCCATGGAAACTCTTATTGAGGCCAAGTTAGTAAATTTAGCAGCTTCCATGTCATTTCTGTGATGCAATCTGCGGCATGCTCTACATGTGCCTGACGAGATACAGGGACACTCAGTTTGTGACCCTTTAATCACGCTCAAGTTATGAAGCAAATGTGATGCAGGCTTTCACTGTTTATGTATGCTGAGAGGCTGCAATCTAAAATACAAATTAGTATCTAGGTTATCAAAACAGCGATTGCGCAAAGCTGATTAGGAATAATTTACTATTAATATGTTTGTATTTTCTCCTTTCTGTGTAACTGCGTGGGGCGGTAACCAGCTTGGCAACAGCATCGATCTTTCTGTTCAGAGCAGCACTGTCTTTGATCAAGGCCACAGACTGCAGCAGAATCTGAGTGAATTTTCAGCGTATGGAAACTAGCTGCACATCATACCGGGAAGAAAGGAAGACGACGCTCAAGAGTTCAAAAGGGTTTCAACACTGAGTATTTTTCAAAGTTATCACTCACCCTGGTTTGTGATCATGACAAGCAACATACATGAGTGTTTTGAAGATGCGGAAGTCAAAAGCAAGGCTATTCCAAAACAAATGTTGATACCACAGTGATTTATCACACACACACACACACATACTTTCTAACACTAAATTTGGTGCCGCATCAGTTTTCCAAAAAAAATTAAAATCTGGTGTGGTTAAAAATGATTCTAAAATATTTCCTAATTCATCTAGTTCTGATAGTTCATGGACATGTTAAAATGACATATAAAGGCAAGGCAAGTTTATTTGTATAGCACATTTCTGCAAATGCATAAGTGCTTAACAAAACAATAAAGTGTAATAAAATCACACAAGGCACTCAAATAATAAAGAATCACAGAACTGTTGTATGCACAGCTAAATAGAACTGTTTTTACCTGGATTTGAACCTTCTTAGAGTAAGCAAGACTGTTTAAGATTTTAGCGGCAAAATTCTGAAACGCTGCCTCCCCTGGTTTTGTCCTGACAATTGGCACCAATGTAAACAATTAGGACCAATATTTTAAGTTGCTACTAAAGTATGTTGTTTATACTAGAAGAAATCAAAGACAACAGAATGCATTGTTTGATTGTAATTGTTCACTACAAACTGAAGTAATTTCAGGAATTTGGAAATATTGAGCATGTTCATAAAAATATTTCTACTGTAACACAATATTGATGTCCCTGTATAGAATTTCTGTCAAGTTATTTTGTATTAATAGCGAGGGATTTACGTATCCAAACAAATACTCAGCCTTTTTTGCTTGGATCAGCCAGATGGCCCACTCTGTTGTTGTTGACTGTTGACGCAGCACTGATTCATGAGTAAGGTGGGACCAGCACTCCTCTGCATTTGTGGAAGATCGTCCAAGAAGAGGGACTTGATAGTTACTAGATTATAGTATTACATTACTGTTTATTAAATTCAAAACATGAAGTCTTTAATGTCTACTGTGAAAACACACTGACATAGGCTAATGGAGCTCTTCGCGAAAATTCACTGTGGTAGACCCGGCCGCTGCCGCCAGATCTACAAGCCTGCTCATCCTCTACTCATTACACCAGCAAAACGCCCACATCTAATCCACCAATAACCACCAGGACAGCAAGTTAAAAGCCGGAGACGCCCACTTCCCGGCCTTCTGAAGTTTGCAAACTTCTGAAGCCTGCAAGGTGCATGTCGCTAACGCACCTGTTCGCAAATGCATGCGTTGTTCTGGAGGGGTCGCTTCTGCTCACGTGTTGCTCGTGCGCGTGGCCCGGCTGTCCTCAGTCTGGCTGCTCGTGGTCTGCTCCTCCTCCGCGTCCCTGCACCTGCTGTGGTTCGCGTGTCTCCACTGCTCTCCTCCTCTGCTCTCCTCCTCTGCGGGCTCTTCTGCGGGCTGCTCCGCGGGGCCCCTCCGCAGGTTCTGTGCTGCTCGTTCCTCGTGGTCTGCTGCCGCGCGCAGACGGTCTGGCGGTGCCGTGCATGTCTCTGCCTCCGATTGGGGTGCCGCGTTGTCCCGTTGCTTTTCCCAAGTCTCCTGGCATGTGAGTACAGTGAGTGTGCCGACCTGCGGACGGATTAATCCCTGAGTCTGGGCTGCAAGCGGCTGGTTTTTGCCCTACGCACTTGTCTGCAGGCGTCAGTTTTCGCCCCGTGCTTGGTCTGCAGGCTCCGTTTTCACACGTGTTTGAGCTAACTGAGGGGCAATGCATATTAAATGGCATCAATCTCTATTGTCTGAGGGATATAAGAGGAGCAATGTGCATAATTCAGATTCATGTTCTGCCACTTGCAGTAAAACCACGTTGGAAAAATGTGCAAAGACTACCCCATCGTGCTCCAGACGGCACACACCAGAGCTCTTGCCACGGCGCCATCTTTACAGCATTAATCTCATTACTCGCAGGTCACTATTGTTAAATGAATGTATTTAAATTCATTCATTTAATTTAAAACACATCTGCAGGAGGAAGGAGGGGCCATGCATTTAAATAGCTAGGTCACTAGTATTAAATTGGGTAACTAAACTGCAGTTGTTGCATTTTGAAAGTGCAGCAGAAAGAAAAAGGGCCCAATGTGAATCTGCAATGGGTTTGAAGTGGAGTTGGAGCTAATGAACGCATGGAAAAGTGATCGTTCATGCGTATCTGCCATAACCAAAGCAGCAAGATGGCTCCAGGGGACATCTGTTATTCGCATGGGAATGTTTCGGATTCGGGTTGATTTATTTCCTCAGGCTCTTAAACAACCATGGGCATGGTTCTCTGACCGCCGCTGCTGCGGCCCCTGCTGCCGTTCCTACTGATGCCTGATCCCGCTGATGCCTGTTCCCGCTGCTGCCTGTTCCCGCTGCTGCCTGTTCCTGCTGCTGCCTGTCCCTGCTGCCTGCTCCTGCTGCTCCTA